TCAGTATGTGAAGGATATCCTATAATCTCAAACAGTGCTATATTCTATATATGAGGCATGTTCATGATTATGACCAGTTAATGAATTGAAAATTCTGCATCAGTTCATTCTGGCTATGTCCAATGCTCTCTCTTGGCTGCTTTATCAAATTACATAAGACTCAATCTAGCTTGTCTTGTCTCTGGTCCCATATGCATTTGGATGTTTCTCACTTACCAAAATGAATTCCATTTGCAAATGGAGCTTTTAGTACTGCGGGGAAGTTGTTTTCTGATTGAGTTGTTACCCTTCCCTAGATATGCAATCACCATGTCTCTACTGAAGCACTATCTAGTTCCTCTCAAGTCTCATCATGTGCATCACATCTACTTTTTTTTTTTTTTTAATGACGGTTGTGCTCGGGCCAGCTTGTGCACACCTCAACTATTCCACCGACCAAGTACCTGCTATTTCCCCACCAACACTGGTAATGGGTGAATCTGACTATCAAGAGTTCAAGACTAGGCATAGGAAAAACTAACCTAGTGTTTTCTGTTTCTACTAGGATTTGAAACCTAATCTCCAAGGCTTGCACCTCTTCATTGACCACTATGCCTCACCATTGGGTGCTCACGTCTACTTCATTTTTAGACCTATCTTTCCAAAAGGAATAACTTTCATATTACAACTCACTCATTGTATAATCAGAGTCCTGCACTGATGGCCTTTATACCATTTACCGCAAGCTTGACCCCTGGATAGTGTGCTAAAGGTCCTCAGATGCAATTTCATTTATTCTATCTGCTGTAGTGAACTGAATTTGATGTCTCTGTGTGTTTATTAGTAAGGTACTTTCTTTTCTTTGACAAATCTTTCATACCTTCACAGCAATGGTAAATTAGATTTCACAATTTTTATCGGTGGAAAAGAATTGTTTGAAGTTACTCATCATAAATTTTCTTTTCCATTTTTTTTAACATGGCTTCCTGAGCATTTTATGTACTCATAACATATGAGGTGTTCATTGAAAGACTTCTTTCTAAAAATGTATTAAATAAATTTACCAAGTTCAAAAAAAAAAAATGTACTAAATAATTTCAGAAGTAAAGGGTTACAAGTTGCATCACTCAGTACTGGATGACCACTGTCCTGTATGCTGATTGCTGTTATCTGACCAACAAAGCGCAGCACCCTATTACTTTCTTACACTAGAATCAAGTTCCAGCTTGGATAGTGATGTCTGTTTAACATTCTTTTGGGCCCCAAAAGCATCAGCGAAAAGGGGCTTCCCCTTTAATTATTTATCAGTAAGTAAGAATGACACAGGTTGTCTTCCCAGATTTAAAATATCGCATTTCATATTCGTAGAGAGTTATTGAGATAAAATTGAACTAAGCGGCACAAGGAACTGATTTATTGTGTAAAAGACTTCATTCTTAAAACATGTAATTTTCATTTGTATTTGAATCAAATTGCACTTTTTTATAACCAAAAAAATCCTCTGTTCTACTTTTCTCCACTCAAACACCGGACTTGGTTCATTAGTCAGGATTCTAACTCGTGACATGCCCTTACCACACATCCGTATCTATATTTCTTTTCCGTTGAGCCAAGAGCTATAGCACTTTTTGGCAGGGTTTCAGTGAGATTGTATAGTCATGGATCCTGTAGCTACAATGCTAACATCTATGGGCTACATATTCATCTTCCTGTTTTCCTAGTGTCCCATCTGTTAGGGTTAATTGACATTTTGTAGCAGAAAGTTCGAAGTTATTACTATCTTTGTCTTCAAATTTCAACAAAGATACACTGGTTGCAATTTGAGAGTATATAATACTGCAGCTGTTGGAAAATGATTACGTTATATTGAGTTGTACTCTGAGGAACTTGATCTCATTATACTTACATCTTACCTCTTTCAGGACCTTCAAAATGGACTAGATCTTGGTGTGGTATCCCCTGAAGTGCTGCAGAATTTTTTTGATCTAGAGCAATATCCTTTCATTTCAGAGTTAACAGACCGCTTTCAGGTGTGCTATGACAAACATCTATTCTAAAACTACCTGTTCACCCGCAGAAGGAGAAAAGAGAATGAACAAAGAAAGAAAAAATAAATAATAAGAACATCAATTTTTTCTACTTTATCCTTTTGTTTTACGCTTGTACTGGTGTATAAAGAAAATGCTAAGTTGTTTGAAGTTGAAAAGAAGCTTGCTTTGATGCAGGGTTTTAGAGAGAGATTGTTGGCTGATCCTAAATTTCTACATCGATTAGCTATTGAAGAATCTATATCAATAACAACTACTCTGTTGGCACAGTATGAGAAGCGTAAAGAGAATTTTTTTGAGGAGATTGATTATGTTATTACAGACACTATTAGGGGTATAGTTGTGGATTTTTTCACAGTGTGGCTTCCTGCTCCAACAATTTCTTTCTTGTCAGTTACTGATGATGTTGATGCACCTGAGAGCTTCGGAGCATTGAAAGGTCTCCTGGGTTCCATCCCAGATAATGCTTTTCAGAAAAGTCTTGTTGGGAAGGACTGGGATGTGAGTCACAGAGTTGCTTCTGTGCTTATTGGTGGCCTTAAATTGGCCGGTGTAGGATTTGTTTCTAGCATCGGGGCGGTGGCTTCATCAAATATCTTGTTTGCAATGCGCAAAGTAATTAATCCGACCTTTACTACTGTCCAGAAGAACAAGCGATCACCAATATTGAAAACGGCGCTTGTGTATTCATCATTTCTTGGTACATCTGCAAATCTGCGTTATCAGGTACTTCATCATATACTTGACAGTTTAATCTTTCATATCATTTTGCTTTCAAATCCAAGATGCTGATTATCTATTTTCATTGGATATCTTGGTTAAACATGGACTGTGCCAGTATATTTTTAAACAATATTTTAAAACCATCTTTAGCTCCTGCAAATTTTAAGGATTTTTCTGTATGATGTTCCTGCCATAATCATGAAAAATTGGAGATTGATTTTTGCTGTCATTTAGTTTCAAAATTGACCCTTCATCATGGGTTTATATCCCTATCAAGTTTGAGAAAAAGCCCAAAATGGATTAACATTGAACTTGTTTTAATTCTTCCTAGAGTTTGTGGAAGTCTGATTGTTAATCAAATTTGGTCCCTTCATCTTTACTAGTGTAATGTGTTTGACACGAGACTGAAACTTTATAGTAGCAGTTACTTTAGAAACACCTATTTGACAATGATTTCCTTAACTTTCTATTGAGGTGTTTGAGGTTCAACTGAAAACAATAATTTTCATGAAATGCAGGTTATTGCAGGATTGGTAGAGCACCGGATTGCAGATAAATTTTCTGACCAAACATTACTTGTAAATATGCTATCTTTTGTTGTTCGAACGATCAACTCCTATTGGGGAACCCAGGTTAGATACGGTCTGAAATTCTTTGAAGTTAAATCTTTTTTTCCTTTTCCTTTTCCTTTTTTTACAACTAATCTACCATAAACTTCTTTTGTGACTAGTGAGTATCCCAGTAAACAGCCATGTAGGTTAATGATAATGGAATCTAAAAGATTAGTCTTTGTGAGGGTCTTCTCAGTTCTCAGGGTAGTGCCTTATATTTCCTTATTTATTCTGTTCCTGAGGGCTAGCTGGTGCAAGGTTCGAAGCTTGGTAGAAAATGTGCCCACCCCTTTACCATTCTCTGCTTAAAACCTTCTATTTGGATTTCCAATCCTTTATTGCTTTATCTTCCGCTCTTTATATTTTGTCCCATCCTTAACCCAATTAGCCTTCTTTCTCTAGCAAAAACTTCTCTTAGAAACGTAGTAGGAGATACTGCTTTTCTTTCAAGAGAAGATTCATCTATCCTCATAGCAGCTCTGAAGTAAAGACACAGTGAACAATAATGTCACCAAGCAAAACCAATTAGATTCAAAACACGGTAATGTACCCTATTAATCCAAGCAAGTCCTCCAATAATGAACTGAACAAATAGTCAAATACAGACACTAATTAAGGGACTAGACTGTAGCAACAGAATACACTTAAAAAGAGAAGAAGGAGAGTGACCGAGAAGAACAGAAAAGGGGGAGAGGAAATCAGAAAGGGGTGAGAGGGACTAGAGAATTTCTCAATACCATTACTTGCCTAATTTCCCCCCTTACCCAATTAATCCCTCATAGCTCTTACCCTGGGCCTCACACATTATTTTCATACAAACTTGCCCTCCACCGTGGCCTCTTCTTTTACTAACCATTCATCCACCATCACCTCATTGTTGATAAGTAATTTTTTCTCTTTGCTAATGATTAGTACTTCTGTATCTCTTCTTCGCAGCAATGGATCGACCTTGCACGGGTTACAGGATTGCAGACTCGCAAGAGCAAGCAAGTTTCTGTTCTTGCTCCAGATTCTGCAAATCCTACTGCAGTTGGTTGCAATAATCCAGAAGATGCCAATTCTGATGAAATCAACAGTCAATAGTAACACTACCACTTATCTTCTCTACTTTCTAGCATAACTTGTAAGCAGCAGTTTTGATTCTTTTGCTGTATATCATTCAATTTTTAGCCTGTCAATATACACAGTTTATAAATTTTGACACACGTCAAATAAATCTTTGTTATTCAGACACTTGGATCTACTTTGCCGAGAATAAAAGCAGACTGAAACTACATTGGAGCACTGTTTAACTATAACTGAATACAACATTGCACTGGATAGTGGATACTCCTCTTTACCCACTCAAAATTGACTTTAGTTGCACCTTTGTGTATCTTTTTAAGTAAAACTGTAAAAATTGCAATGAAATGTAGGAACGCATTGCAACAACAGTGAACGATGACATAAACTTTGTTCGTCTTAAGTGGATGAATGCAAGGTATTTACCTTGCAAAACCTGAGAATCCTTAAAATGGCCATGGGGGCTACAATCTCTCAAAGTCTATGGGGCCGGCATTCAATAATATGACTGGTCAAAAAAGGAATGCAAAAATAAAAAAAGAAAAAGAAACAGGATGAAAACATAGATGCCGTTCACTTTAGAGTAAATTGTCAAAATTAATTAATTTCTCGGTATCATCTTAATGATATGTTGAACAACAAAAAATCATCTTAATAATAAGTGATACAAGCAATGGAACACTTTTACTGTCGACTCTTAACAACGTCCTTTTCATTTTTAGAGCTAATTGTCTAGAACCCTAGATTGATTCCTCGTGATGTGTCTTGGTAAAAGTTGCAACCAAATTATCATCTTACAGAATACAAACAATGAAATATTACAAGACCAAGAAAGTGAGTATGAAGTTCCCATTCATTAGTATTCTTCAGCATTTGTTAGAACTTCGATATGACAGGATCCTGCAGCTCCTTCGATCTCTCTTGAAGTTTCTCTTTAGTTTTCTCCAATGCTACTTCTAAATTTTTCATCTGCACGTCATTCTGTGGTCAGTTTTTCTTCTCCTTTAATCATACCAAGAAATTATGATTCAGTTGCAGAATACGAAAAGAGCATTACTATACCTGTTGCCTGGCAAACCTATTGTGGATGAATAGCCCACTGAACAGATCAAAACTATCTTTAACTGAGCTCTCCTTCTGCATGTTGTCCAATTTCAGTGTAATAATAAAAAATCAGAGATCCCAGAAGTTGAAAATTTACTCCAGAGGATAAATGTGCAGCAGGGCATATGCATAATCTTATACAAGTGCAATCAACCAAAATAAATAAATCTCTAAGGAGTCAATGTTGCATAATTACCACTTGAACAAGTTTCTGAAATCCCTTTGTGTCTATTGGCGTGGGTTCAACCTCCATTTCCGACAAGATCCTGTCAAGTGAAGAAGATTAATACTGTAGCAGATTGATTTAGTTCTTCTGTAACTTGTGGCTAACGAGCAGGTGACACAAATTACCTGCCGATTGTGTGAGTAAGAAATTGGCTTTGAGCAGCTAATCTATCATGCTCTTCACAAGTCATTTCCAGCATTTTGCAACCCTGCAAAAGAGGATCAGTGCATTTCTCAGATGGGGGTTCTCGATCTTTCCAGTCAAATTGGAATCATTATGAGAAAGCAATAAAATTGAGGAAGAAGACATATGATCTGCAGTACTTCCTTACCTCACTTGAGAAGATGTGCAGAAAGCTAGAACACAGGGGTTGATCTCTAATTCGAACCATGTCGTACATAAAAGTCAAGTCTGTCCATCCATCCTTACCACTTTCTGGTCCAAACATTGGGTGTGTACACAGCAAGTCGCACTCTTCGGGCATTATCTTTCAAAGTTCAAACACATGGGTATTGTTAGACAAAATATGGAAAACCTTTGATGACTTGCAAATAATATGAAACAGTAGTTTGAAAATTGCATACTCGCAAAAGGACATCTTTTGGGTGTTCTTTAACAGAGAGCACATCAACGAAAAGTGTAGGCCGCTTCAGACAATTGAATGGTATGGACTCCACAACTCGTGATAGAGACAGGATGGACGTGCTAATCATTATAACTTCATTGTCCGATTCTAGAAATGCACCCATATCCCTGCGCGCAATCAATCAATAATAACTGGTAAATTTATTCATTCTCTTGTACCATCAAAAAGTTGTCTATATATCCATACCTGAAGAACAAGATACCCAAATTTGTGCAGAGCTCTGAGTAATCTGATCTTGAAGTTACTCTGATCAAATGGCCTTGTTTCATCATAGTTTTGGCCAGAAACTGGGCGAAAGGACCAAATCCAATTATGCCGATTCGTATAGTTTTTGGTTGAGAAGAAGAAGAAGACGACGACGACATGGATGCGGCAGAAAAAGATAAACAGCGACAAATGCGGGGGAGAAGATGTAGCTGATGTGTGGTATTGTCATACCTTACGTCGGACGCGTCCTTTTATACAAAAAAACGAAAAAAAAAAAAACAAAAAAAAAACAAGGAGAAACTGTCTCAAGACGGACGAGTAGACGCGGGAAGGCAACTAAAAGTCAAAAACGGAAGCGACTAAAGTTCGCTTTTATCTTTAGTCGCTAACAAAACTATTTTTGGACAATTACAAGTTAAAAACTCTTCTCGCTATAATACTACGTGATAACTGATTAGAAAAAATATTATTTATCTATTAGATTGTGCATAAGTAATTACTATTTTAAATATTGGATTAGAATTATATGTAAAAGTAATATGATGTTTTTTATGTAAAAGTAATATGATGTTTTTTTTATAATTTAGAAATTTGTATAATTAATATATACATAAGTTATAAGTTATGAAGAAATTTAAATACAATTTTATGCAGGATAGAAGATTGAATAATTAAACTCGACATAAAATAATATAAAAATTTCTTGTAACTAGTTCATTGATGTGTTGTCATTTAGTGGATAATGGTTAACGACTTTATTGACAAAAAAAATTGCGTGACCTTATAGTTATCTATATTGTATTGAAAGTATGATATTTTCACTATTTTTTATTATTTTTAACCAAATAATATCATCATTAAATTATTCTCCTAATATTTTGGACTTTGCCGTCCTTATTGATTTAGGTAAGAAATCATACTAATACAACACTTTAAATCAATTAGACTTTTACCTTGTATAAATACTAATTTACAATTCTATATGAGTAATATTTTGTATCAAATTTTATGTGAAACATACGGCTTCTTAATTGGGATTTATATTTGTGGTAAAATATAATTCAAATGCATCGTTATATATATATAAGGCAGTTCATGGTTATGGTTAAAAAATCAAATCGAACTGCAATTCGAACCAAATCAATTAAAAAACTAATATTTGGTTTGGTTTGATTTTAAATTTTGAAAACCAATACTATTTGGTTTGATTTTGATTTTACTAAAAAACAACGAGATAATATCTCAGATGATCACTCAACTTTGCATACTTTACTTAGAAAGTCACTCAACTTTGAGTTGTTTACTTAGAAAGTCACTTAACTTTATTTATAACTCAAAAGTCACTCAGCTATTGATATTTTACTTAGAAAGTCACTCAACTATTGTTATTTCATTTAGAAAATCACTCAACTATTGATATTTCACTCAAAAAGTCACCCAACAATTTAAATAGTTTATTCATTAATTAGAATTTTTTTGAAAAACAAACAGTAGCATTTTTTAGCACAATTAATTTCAGAAAATTAATAGCAATGCTACTGTAGATTTTAATTTTAATTTGTCAATTGCAACTGTACGTTTAAAATAGGGATAAGGGTCTGAAAAATATCCTAACTTTGGTCGGATTTGCTATTGCGATACTAAACTTTCATGATGACCTATTACCTCCCTAGACTATTTAATACTGTATTTTAAACATATATATTTGCCCACGTGGACATAAAAAATAATGCAAAATTATAAATTGTAATGTGTCCATGTGGACACATATATACCTTTAAAATACACTATTAAATAATTCAGGGGGTAAAAAATACGGTATTAAATAGTCTAGGGAGGTAATAGGTCCTTATGAAAGTTTAGTATCGCAACAACAAATTTGACCAAAGTTAGGGTATTTTTCAGACCCTTATCCCTTTAAAATATATATCTTTTACTAAATTACAAGGAGTAATCAAAAAGATGCTCAACGATCTTTTTTTTTTTTTTTTAAAACATAGTTTTAAAAAATTATATTTCAACAAAATTCAAAAAAATAATTAAAATGAGCATCTTTTTATTTTTTAAAAATAGTTTAAAATGAAATTGTATTTCAACAAAATTTAATGAAGAAATTATTTAAATTAGTTGGATGACTTTTTAAGAAAAATATCATTAGTTGAGTGACTTTCTAAGTGATATTATCAATAGTTGAATGACTTTTGAATGATAAAACAGAGTTGAGTGACTTTCTAAGTAAACTACTCAAAGTTGAGTGACCATTTGAGTCATCCAACTAATAAATTAGATATATAACCAAATCGAACCGATAAATTAAATATATAAAGTTTATAATTATTTATATATTATTCATAAATAAAATATAAATATTTTATTAAATTTTAATTAATTTAAGACTTTAACTTTACCATTTTCTCAAGTCCAACACTTAAATTTTAGCCCAACTATTACAATCCTAAGTCCAAGTTCATCAACATCCATTACTTTAGTTTTTACCTAACATACATTTCATAAGATAGTCACATTTTCTCTTAATTGAATCACTTTGTTTGTGTAATGATAACTCTAGTATTGCTTAATTGACCAACAATAACTTTTCTGTGGATTGTTTATCTACTAGTTGTTCGTGATTTGTCCTCCTTGCATTCAGAGGACTTCCATTATGAGTCAGTAGATATTATTCACTTCAGTTATGTTATTTAGAGGCTTTTTGAATATTAGTATTCAATTGTAATAGATTTATTTTTGCAATCTATTGCAGTTATGATTCCGCTTCAGTTTTCATATGATATGCTTAGATATCTTATGTCAAAGATTATCTTGAGATCACGTGTGGTTCCAAGCACCATGTCTTAACTAGAGTGTAGGTTCGGATCATAACAACAAGTTTTTTACATATCGGATGAACAATGATAGTTAAGGCCTTTGGCCAGTACTCTGAGAAGGTCTATTCTAATAGTTGTTCTGACCTGTCTTCCAGATTGAACATTAGCATTAGATTGATTAGGTGCAAAAGATCCCTGTCGTTGTCCTCCATTATGTTTGCCATTGTAACTACCCACATTGTCCCTTCTTTCCCTACCTTGTTTATTATAATTGTTTTGATGATGAAAACCTACCAATGACGCAATTGTACATGTAGCAAACATAGAAACAAAAATAGATACTACTTTAACCTGTGGCTCTAAGCCACACACCTCTTCAATTTCTGCTTCTCAGTAGGAATTAGTGTTTTATAAAACAGGGACGTGAGGCGAGACGTTTTACTTAGGATAGGGCGAGGTGTAAGTCTCGAGACATGGGGCATAAGCTCTATGGATCTTTAAATTTTTAATTTACAATATAGTATCTTATCTAATATATATATATAAGAGAATCTTAGACCCGCTTATGTGGCACCCTCACAAATCAAGATTCTTATTTAACCCTTCTTAAAAGTCATAATCTTACGGAAAATCACAACTATTTATAAAAGTCAGAACTCTTTAGAAAAGTCAGAATTCTTCATAAAAGTCACGACTCGTCATTTTTCATTCACACCTTTTAAAACTCAACACTTAATTCCAAGGCACCGAAAGAAGGTTTGAATGTCATGAACTTAGAACTTAGAACTTGAACTTGAACTTAGAATTTGAACTTGAACTTGAACTTAGAACTTGAATTTGAAATTAGAACTTGAACTTGAATTTAGAACTTGAAGTTGAACTTAGAATTTGAACGTGAACTTAGAACTTAAACTTGAAATTAGACCTTGAACTTGAACTTGAACTTAGAATTTGAAGTTAAACTTAGAACTTGAACTTGAACTTAGAACTTGAACTTGAACTTAGAATTTGAACTTAAACTTAGAACTTGAACTTGAACTTGAACTTGAACTTAGAACTTGAACTTGAACTTGGAATTTGAAATTGAACTTGAAATTAGAACTTGAACTTAGAACTTGAACTTGAACTTGAACTTGAACTTAGAACTTGAACTTGAACTTAGAACTTGAACTTGAATTTAGAACTTGAACTTGAACTTATAATTTGAACTTGAACTTAGAACTTGAACTTGAACTTAGAACTTGAACTTGAAATTAGAATTTGAACTTGAACTTAGAACTTGAACTTGAAATTAGAATTTGAACTTGAACTTAGAACTTGAACTTGAAATTAGAACTTGAACTTGAACTTAGATTTTGAAGTTGAACTTAGACTTGAACTTGAAATTAGAACTTGAACTTGGAACTAATTAGCTTGAATATATAACTAATTAATATATACATATATATATATAAAAAAAAAATATTCTTGGATTTGAAGTTTATATTTAACTAATTTTTGAACTTTTCGTGCTAGGCAATTGAGGAAGCTCAACATCTAAAAAAGTTGATACAAGACTATATTGCTTCTTTCATCAAAGTAGGAGATACGGTTGGTGCTTCTAAATTTCTAAAGTTCAAGTACAATTGTTTTCAATAATGTGTTTGTGTCCATTTAGTATTGATACTTAGCTTTAATTTAGAAAGGGAAAAAGGATAAATATACCCCCGAACTATCGTAAATGGTATACAGATACCCTCCGTCATACTTTTGGGACATTGGTGCCCCTGCTGTCCAAAAACTAGAGCATATATACCCTTTATACTAACGGACATACACGTGTCACAATCTTATCCACCCATCCGACATTTATTAAATATCGGATCGACGGATAAGATTGCGCCACGTGTCCCTATTTAGTCTTCCGTTAGAGTGAAGGGCATATTTGCTCTAGTTTTTGGACAGCAGGGGCACCAATGTCCCAAAAGTATGACATAGGGTATCTGCATACCATTTACGATAGTTCAAGGGTATATTTGTCCTTTTTCCCATTTAGAAATAATATATTTGTTAAGCATAAGTACCAACACTAGTTGATCCTATTGATGACAAAATTGATTTTCTTGCAAGATCGATTTGTGTCCATCTAGTGTTGACACTTAGCTTTAAATTTAGAAATAATATATTTGTTAAGCATAAGTACCAACACTAGTTGATCCTATTGATAACAAAATTGATTTTCTTGCAAGATCGATTTGTGTCCATCTAGTGTTGACACTTAACTTTAAATTTAGAAATAATATATTTGTTAAGCATAAGTACCAACACTAGTTGATCCTATTGATGACAAAATT